AGAGGGGAGATCCACTCCACCAATGAAAAACAAATTATAACCCTTGAAAGGTCACCTTTAGAATCTCTTCAGAATGGCAAATTTTCACTCTGAACTCCATTAATAAAACCAACTCATCGACTTAGCACAGCTCACTTCTTACTGCTTTGGCTCAAGATTAATCTAATATGGTATGAGGATAATAATAAAAAAAAAAACAACAACAACAACAACAAGCTTTCTTTCATTTAGATTTCATCTAGATTATCAGTCCAACCATTGATGAGAGCGTTTTCGAGAGCAGATTCAAAACCATTCTGCCGTTTAGCCATGAAATAATTGTTTATTTATATTTACAGCCTAGCAAAGGGTAATGAGATTCTTTAGAAAAAATGACTTTGGGGCGGAAAGAGGAAGGGAAAATAGAAAATAATTATATGAACGATAAAATGGACTGCCATACAATGATGCAGGAGATTTATTCTCGGAAGAGAACAAAAAGAGTGAAAATCTTGCCAGAAATAAAAACTGCGTTGAGGTCCTCCTTATCTCGTTTGAACAATGAGCCTTGCGCGATTATGACCAACAGAATTTTTGGCATTTCCCGAGGAAAAAAAATCATCATTAGTTTTTATCGTCATTTTTCCTTGCATTTGTAGAGATGGTCTTAAGATTTGGATTGAAGAAAGTGGTTGACATTTCATATTTGTGGTCGTATCATTTCTTGTTGACATCCTGAGACTCGTGAGAAAGCCTCCTTGGGATTTCGTGAACATCAAATATTTCCATAATATGTAATAATGAATTAAATGAAGATGAAGATGAAACTGAGAAAATATGGTATACGTAACTGAACGTGATGTTTGAAATAGATGCAGGAAACAACTTTGGTAGTCTTTACTTCAAATAACCACCAGAAACAAAGGCTCTGAGTGCGGCCTTGTAGGCTCTTGAATCACATGACTCGCAGAAGGACTTCAAAATAATCCGATTAACATAAACCATCCAGAACAAAATTCACAACACAGCTCCTTTATAAAACTATATTTGATTTTAAGAATCTGACAGCTAGACAAGAGAGTCGAAATCAGAAAGAGGCTAGATGATTTTGGCTTGAACTAAATTAACCTGAACACATTTCAAAATTGCTATTTACTTAAAATTAAAACAAACAAACAAACAAATTAAGA